AGCAGTGGCAAAATTCCGAGCAGAATCACCTCTTGAATTGTGGCATGGAGATTTGTGCGGCCCAATTACCCCTGCTACTCACGGAGGGAAGCGCTATTTCTTGTTGTTGGTTGACGATTGTACCAGATTTATGTGGCAGGTGCCGATCCGAGACAAAAATTAATGACTTATATTAGGCAATGCTTTCAATTAGGAAATAGATTAAAAAGGAAGTAATATAATAGACAATGATTTTTATTAGGGGATTTCATGGAAAAGTAAAGAAATAGAAAAGGCTAACATAAAATATATAGGAAATAAAATAGGAGAATCATGGAAAAGGGAAGGAAGAGAAAGGAAACAAAAAAAGGAAAGTGGAGGAATTTTAGGCCGCAACACTGTAGCTGCTACAGCACCGCAACCCAGAAAAAGCTCCCGCGTCAATTTTTCGAGGTTAGGGAAGCTCCGACCTTGTTTGTAAAGCTTTTAGGGTAGAAAAATTTTGGTGGGGGTGGTTTGGGTAGGAGCGGATCTAGAGAACCCTATGCTAGAACTAGGGTTGGGCTTGCTCTGATATCAAATGATATCAGAGGAAGCCCAAACCATAACAGAAATAATAATATTGTGGTTGAATTTCAAAGATTACAACAGGACTCGTCAAAACAGGAAATAAATAATAAAATTACAACACAAATATAAAGACACAACACAAACTCTAATAAGTGTTTTGGAAAAATAAAATGTCTCTTCGGGGTTGAGCTACAAACAAAACACCACCCGAACCCTTGGAGATGGCTACCACCTTGGACGAGTTATAGCCGGAGCACCTTCTCGCCGTCGGATACAACCCTCATAGGGGAAAAATGCCTCAAAGGCAGCACTTAGAAATATGCACTCATCCAAATCTCCTTTCCCAAGCAAAAACAACCCATTGGACGAGTTATAGTCAAAGCATTTTCTCGTCGTCAAATACAACCCTTGTCAAATCTCCTTTCCCTAATAGGCAAGGATTTGTATTAGGGGATTTCATGGAAAAGTAAAGAAATAGAAAAGGTTGGCATAAAATAGTAGGAATTAAAATAGGAGAATCATAGAAAAAGAAAGGAAGAGAAAGTGAAACAAAAAAGGAATGTGGAGGAATTTTAGGTCGCAGTACTGTGGCAGCTACAGTACCTCGTCCACCTAGGATCTATGGAATCCTAGGATAGGTCTAGTGTTGCCAAATGATACCGAAGGAAGCACAAACCACAACAAAAATGAAAATTCTATTGTTGAATTTCAAAAATTACAACAGGACTTATCAAAACAGGAAATAATCGACAGCAAAATAATAATACAAACACAAACTCTGATAAAGGTTGCAAAAAGAAAAAAATGTCACTTCGGGGTCAAGCTACAGCCGAAGCACCACCCGACACAGTCACCACCTCAGACAAGTTATAGCCGAAACCGAAATTTTTGTTTTTACATTTTTTTCTATCATATCATTCCCTTCACATCAAAAAATATGATTATTGCTAACTTTTAAAGAGGGAGATACTTCTTTGTTAAACTTTTCTTGGCTGCTTCATTGTTTGTTTCTATGCAGTCATTTTGCTGAACTGCCTTTATTACACCTCACCGGGCATTCAATGCATCCCTTGAGGTAATTTTCTTCCTAAAACATCAGTTGATTTTCTAGTTATAGAATTTTTTTTTCTTTTTTGCTTAATAATATTATTATTATTATTAATTTGTAATAAAATTTTGTGGTATATGATGATGGCGAGCAGGATTAGCACTGCCTGAAGCTGGGCTAAAAAACAATCATTAACTTCAATTGCAATACATAACTGAGAAGATGAACGCTTTCAGTGACTAAGGTTTGGCTTCTGTAAGTTTTAATTTGAATAACTTTGTAATTAGTTCCTTGCACTGATTAATAGATCTTTGAAAATTGTAAATTTTTTTCCTGCAAATTAATTAATATTTGATTGTCTATCAATGAAATTCTATGTCTGGACATCTCCAGATTATTTTGCTTGTAGCTAAAAGGGGCTTTTACATATATACCACTCAATTCCAACGTGTTCAACTGTCTAGTACCTAAATTTTACTTTGCACCCAAATCTTTCCATGCACGTAGCATCCAAAAAAGTTAAGAATGATTTGGATGAGTATGAAATGGAAATGAATTTACTTTATATATTTACATCTCTAACACCTAACTTGTCATATTTACATTTATAGCACTTTGATGTGCGAGTCAAATGGTATTTTTGATATAATGTCAAAAGTTTGAGTGGCATGAATGTAAATATAAAAGTTCAGATGCTGGATGTGTAAATATATAAGAATTGTGTGGTATTTTTAAGTAAATGCCTCAAAATTTAACTGATTACGCATATATTAAATTTATGGTGAAGTAAATTTGATGATATATTTTTTTATTAATTGTTTTTATTAACAATAACTAAAAGCAATGAATATATATA